AGCAAATCAAATGGATGTTAGTCGCTGTCGCTCTGACAGCTTGTTTACATCCACATCTCGGGAAGTGGGCACTGCGGCAACGGGCCTCCAATAGCCCAGCAAACGAAGCAAAATGAGCCTATGCGGGCGCATTCCTCAGCCGATAAGGCCCGCTCGCATTGCCTCCGCGAGGCCACCCACAAGTGGCAAAAGTCGGCTCGGCCTTTGGGGCCAACACGAAAAGTAGTTAGCGGCCAAATGGCTTTTGGTTATTTGGCCGGCCACACTACGTGGAGTATGTGTGGCCCGCCTCGCTTTCCAATATAGAAAGAACATTATGTCAAATGCAAAATGGAGCCGCAGATTAAGCATGGTCCATGGCGAAGGCATTAGGCAGGCTGCACACGTGTCGAGGGCTGCCAAATGGCGCGCTCTGGGTTGCTTTCGGATTCACATTTCAATTAAATATTTAGAGCCGAAGCCCCTTTCTGAATAATTCAATACGCAAATCCGCACATTTCATATACCAAAGAATGCTCCATAATTTACTTTACGTGACCCAAACACAGAAAATTTTCATATGAATTTCGAGTAGCGCTCGGAAAGTTGAAAATTTCCAAATTGCCAAAGCTGCAAAGTTGCCGGAATTCTGCATGGACTATGAAATGTATTATGGAAAATGCAGCATAGCTAACAGTGGTAACAACTATAGTGAAAACTGTGTGAAATCGACCCAGTTGGGAATTATTTTTAAAGAATTGCTATAGCTATTGATTATAATATTATTATTACCTTAATATTTATATGAATAATTTCTTCTCATTTTTCGATTTATACCAAATAATTTAGCAGGAATTCACATATTTACTTTTAACATTTTTAAGCAGCTTTGCGGCTCATCTGAAGGAATACGACTTAGGTATTCCACGTCAGCTTCAACTGCAAAAGTCCAAAGTCGAAGATGCAAAGAATTTTTGGCGCTTAGCTAAACTGCGTTTCCATAAGAATATGAATAAGAATAAGAATAAGAATGAAGTACATAAAAGTCGGCAGAGCCTCAACTCCTGGTTGAATTTGCCTAATCGCTTGTCAAATCAGTAACCCTTAAGGATGTTTTAGTGAGAAATCACATCAAACAATGTTTAAATCGTATTCAATTTCAGCCTTTTGCCTGCCAGACAAATACAACATAATCTGTAAAAATATACATACATATATATAAGGAGGGAACAAAACAAAACAAGGTAATAAAAGCACGACAAATCCGAGTTTGTTGCGCCTTTCACACATGGATGTATCAAAAGTGGATGCGGATGCGGATGCGATGCGGATGCGATGCGGATGGGCGCGGATGCTGCGGCTCCGCTGCCTTTTGATTTGGCCTCTTCCACTTCGTTTTTTCCGTTTTCTTTTTATTGTGTCACCCAAAAAGCCAATAACGGCGCATTTTTCGCTGCCGACGCTGATGGTGACAACCACTGACATGCTCCACAGCCACACACCCACACACCCACACATACATACACACACACAGACAAAGGGGAATACACATGAGCAAGCGTACATGCCGCCCGGGCGGCTTTTGGATAATGGTTTCGTGGCATAGTGCAGACCCACTAGGATGCGACCCATCGGCTCAGCGTTGCTTGTCTCACTATAACCACCTCTACACACTCTGTGATGCCTCCCCCCCACCAACACCCCTTCTAAAAAGCCGAGAGCAAATTTGGCACAGTGTCACACGTTATTGGTTTTGTGTCGCTTTCTAGTGTATCGATTTAACGGCCTGCATGGCGACCCGCTGCTCTGAGCCTCACGGCTCGTCGTTCCGCTGTGGTTTATTTGGGTTCCTGTTTGTTTTGCTGTTCTCGGCTCGGGCTGCATGCACCGAGTCCTCTCTTGTTGCTGCCCGCAGGAAATTGTTGTATGCAAACATTACATTTTTAATGGGACTTCTTTTGTGCGCTGGCTATTGTTGTTGTTGTCAGTGTTGTTGCTGCTGTTGCTTGTGGCAGCCATTTGAGCAGTTTATCCATGCCAACAATCAAAAAAGGCAGCGCAACAAATATTTCCAAAGCCCCGGCTTGACAACTACGCTCAACAATTGCAGCAAAGCTGCGCGGATTAGTGAAAAAAATTTTGATTTTGTTTACGCGGCAATTGTCGCATTGCTTTAGTTTACATTTTTTTCTATATGTATGTATGTGTGCATATATATGTAAACAATTGTACTTTTTTGTTTAGCAAACCAGGCAAACAGCTCCCAGCGCTGCTTTGCAAATAAATTCAATTGTCACAAATAAATTTGAAATCTCGTAGTAATTGACTTCAATTATAAAAGGCGAAAATTTATTTAATGCAAAATGTTGCACTCCAGCTGTAAGTTTTTGGCTTAAATGACATAAGCAGAAGATATATGTATTCAATAATTAACTGAAGCTAAGTTCAGAAGATAATTTCATATAAATTTTGGCTTATTAACTAAGGTGCAGAATGGCAGGGTAACTATTTCTTGTTCATGTGCCTGGCCATAGGATATTATAGCTAGCTTTGGCCTTACCTCGAGATCATTTCTGTGTGCTCCATCATTTCTGCTCGTTTACCATTGCAATAATGAACCTTCGCCTCATCGCACAGTCAGACTTGTGCTTCAATTCCATTCTGAATAGATCTGTTTCTCAGAGCTGAATATATATAGTCACCATAAATTGAGTGCTGTGGCATTAGTAGGTCGAACGCTAACATTAAGTGAATTTGGTAGCATGACTACACTGACAGATCTTGTTAAATACTAACTTAAACATAGTCAAACAAACAGCCCAGTAACCCTATTGAAATTCTATATACATATATATGCCGTATCAGTGCGATATTAGACTTTTGTTGAAGTTGCAATTTGATTTCTTGATGCAGTAGTGTTGAGAAAGACTGGCAATTCGTGTTAATCGATTGATTTAGTATTTTAGTGCAATTAAGAGAGAGACAACAATAGCTGTTGCTGAACGTGGTCCCGGGTGTCGCTGGGTGAGAGAGAGAGAGACGACTAGTTCTGTCTCTATGCTTTTGATGAACGAGATATGCGACCAGAATTAGAAGTTTTGACAGTAGAAGAGAAATCCGACTCGGTAAAAGACTATTGAACAAGAAAGAGCATTTTGAAAGGAGTTTAGCGACACCGGGAATTCGTTGGTATGCGCAGCTAAGATGGAAAACAAGAATGAGAAAAGCAGCGCCCCGACATATAGTTGAATGACATTTAATTACTTTAGCTGGAATGTCATATATAAAAAAATGCCAATCGGCATTTATTTCTTTATTTCTCTCTCTCTCTCTCTCTCTCTCTCTCTCTCTGTCACTCTATCTCTCTCTCTCTCGCTCTCTCTCTCTCTCTCTCTCTGTCTCTCTCTCTCTCTGTCACTCTCTCTCTGTCACTCTCTCTCTCTGTTTATTCACTTAATCAATTAAAATTAGCAAACACAAATAATGCCATTACATAAATTAGTTTCACTGCACAACATTTAGAACATTTACGCAAAGCACGTAAGGCAATTAAAGTTTGTCAACAATAAAATAAAAATGTGAAAATAATTAAATGTTTAGCGTTGCGCCGCTCCATTTGCTGCAGCACAAATTAGATGATTATTTAAATTCGATTGTTTCACTGGCGAGGCGGACAGCATAATAGGATATGACTGAAATAATAAATTGGGGCGTCGACTGTGCGACAACTTCTCGATGCTGTCTGCAGTTGCTGTCCGAAAAGTTTTGCAAGCCAGTTCCAGTTCTAATTAGCGCTCTCAAGATATTCAACACTCAGCGTAATTAAATGGAATTTTAAGCGTTCGGCAGCAGCGTCTTTTAATTACTACCCAGTTGCCACTGCTGCTGCCGCTGCTGCTGCTGCTGCTGCTGATGGTGGCCCACACGATATGCAGTTGTTGGCAACTTCATAGCGACAAGCTACAATAGCAACGGCAACAGCAACAGCAACGGCAACGGCAACGGCATCAGCAGCAGCTTAAATGACGGCCAACTTTTTGGTAAACGGCAAAACTTGGCTAGCACAAATTAATCATAACTTTGGAGGCTGCTGCTGCTGCTACTGCTGCTGCTGCTGTGGCTGCCGAATTGGAATGCCATACGCGTAGCGCACGCCTAGCGACCCTCGTGTCGCTGCGCTCTCTATTCTAGAATGCTGATAATTAGGCCATTAAAAATGTGTTGGGCTTTTCGTAGTGCAACATCGAGGTGTAGATATGCATATCATTATTTGGGTAGCTTCATTTTATTTCAGGTTCGTCGTCGTCAGTCTGCCTAATAAATTTTAGTGCGTCAACGTTTATCAAAACGGCGAAAGTTTCGAGTTGCAGCTACAGTCACACAGTGCTAGCCAAAATAGTCCTTTGACGGTTTCCATAGTTAGTTTAAAATTTTTCATAGCTTGCCCGCATGCACCCAAGAGCGTCGTTCTATTCCACTTTGAGTCGAGTAAGCCGTTAACTAGTGCTGAAATTGGCTTACATTCATAGTAAATAACTGAAAAGTGTATGTGATTTAGAGTTTAACCAGCGCCTGAAGTCTAATTAACAAACTTGAAATAAAATAAAATAATTTAAATTACGTATTTTATAGAGACTTTATTTTACTCTGGATTTATGGAGTAACTGCCGCTGAAGTTTAAATTTGTACACTGCTTGATGTTCACCTGCTTGCAGTGTAGAGTAACGAGGGAAAGTACACTGCTTGACCATTGAGCAATGCACGTCGTCGGAAAATAGCTATTTGATATGACTAAGCAGTGCAACGCCGGCAGCTTTCAATAGGTATGTATAATAAACGTTACCACTTAAATCGCTTAAAGAATATAATAATTATAATAAATTCGAATTAATACACATTTAACTTTCACTTTATGTAAGGTTTCTTTTTGTTGTTTAATTTTTTGTTTCGCAATAAATTACAGAGAAATGGCGCGTTTTGAGAAACGCAAATTGTTTTTGCAATTGCATAAGCATTTTAAATAAATACAGAATTTAAATAAATAATATAAATAGCTAAGACCTAGTTTCAAGTAAGCACATAAATTAATTTAATTTAATAAGTTTAATTTACTTTAAGTCGTCCAGTCACTGTGCCATCAATTCGCAGCACTCGCCACGCCTTAGACCTCATTGCACTCCAGATACAGCTGGCGACAATCGAAGCCGGAACGCCCTCTGCGTCCAGCATCATACAGGTGCTCGAAGCTGGTGTTGCTGCTGCGACCAAGCATGTAGCTGGTGGCATAGCTGTAGAGTAAATTATTGACAGATATATATAGTTACAGGTTAAGCATACGGAGAAGAGGTCTACTTACGATCCCAGTTGGCAGAAGATGCTGCTGCCTCCGATTTCACGCACGCAGTCCGTATTGGCATCGCACATGTAGCGCTGCATGCACTTGTCGTCCGCGTTGCGGTAGGTGCGAACGTAGCCCTTGAGGAGCGCAATGCCAGCGACGGCTGCATCGCTCACCGAGTCACGTTTGCCCAGGGAGCGGGCGGTGAGCGAGCGGTGCGAGAAAGAGGTCTTCAGTGCGTCCAGCAGATTCATAACGATCTGTATGAACTGTGAATGGGAGCGTCGAGAGTTGGTAGAAAGTGTTGGTAAGGTGTGGATGTTTGTGTGTGTGTGTAAGAGGCGAGGTAATAGGGAAGCATTAGTTAATTAGTTTTGTGCCAATAACTATGTATATCTATGAATAGCAGTGTAAATGTGTGTGTGTGTGTATGTCGTATAGTGTAATGTGTGTACTATAATTACATTGGCAACACTATGCAACAAAGCAAAGCTAATGTTAATGTATTAAGAAATAAAGTTTTTTCAATTTTCAACTCCACGGCAAGTCATAAGCTGACAAAAGCTGTTTGATTTCTTGAATGGCTGTGGCAAATAGAGTGAACTGCTTGCAGTCGGGTCATGTTTTGAACTGCTTGCAGCTGAGTCAAGTCCACAAGCAATAGTTGAATTTATCTGTGCGCCTTTGTTTTGTTGCATAGTGCTTGCTTTTCGTGTGCGTTCGGTGTGTAAGCAATAATGGTTTACCTCGCCAGCTTGCTTGGCCATCGAGTTGACTTGATCTGGATCTCTGGTGCCCAACACGGACGACAGCACAGCCGCCAAGATGCCCTGTGCGAATTGGTTTTTAGGTTGAGGAATAGTAGGAAATAAGTATAAAATGCAAAACAAAATAAAAATCATAAGAAAGAAGAGAAAGAGACCAATCACCAGATGAGTATAAATATAAGTATAAAGCAAACTGAAAGCGGCCAAAACACATATCCAAAATAGTGGCACAATGGCAAAAGAGAACGGCTTAAAGTGTATGACGAATAGGCCAATTACCTGCATGGGAGAACCGCCGTTATCGACCTTGTCGATGCCGTCGCTGGGCGCGCCGCCGCCCAAGAGCGTGTTAATGATGCGCAGACCTGAAAGAGAAGAAGCAATCAATGAAGCCAAGCAACTCTTATGTGTAGCGTGCGAAACATACCCATGGAGATGACATTGGCCCAGGGGCTGCCGCCCAAGCCAACTGAGTTGTCTACATCGTCGGACTTGGTCGGCGAATTGGCGGCTCCATTGAAGAACATGGTCATCACGGTGGACAGCATGTTGGACCAGGTGAAGCCACCGGGTCCGCTCACGGTTTCCTGTATCTGATTGCCCTCGATATCATCCTCGATGTCATCCAGCGCCACCTTCTTGGAGGCGTTCGGCTTCACGGCATACTTGCGTCCGCTGCTCTCGGGCCGATAGACTGGCGACCKCGATTGGGACTGGGACTGGGACTGGGCCAGCTGTCGCTGGTAGAGCTCCTGCTGGGGAAAGGCGAAGGTGAGCAGCAGGCAGTTGCTAGCCACTATGCAGAGCAGCAAGTAGGCCTGTAGTTTGCGTTGATTCAACATGGCGCTCTGTGTGCGAAATAGAAAAGGAAACGGTCGCATCAAGTTTGTGTCTTCAGTCTTTCGTTTTGCGCATTTCAAATTTGTGCGAGACCCCAATCGCAAAGTCCACATAACACTTTCACATTGCGGGTTGCTTGAACCCGCGCACGATTCGGGCATGCAAATGAGTCCACAAAACGCAATCGAGCCACAATCGATCCACCAAATAGTGGCCGCTGTGCACGTGCAGTTACATGAAATAGTTGGCCCAAATCATGCGCCGACTGCATGCGTGTTCTCATTCGCCCCCTAGCCAGGTGATATAACATAAAAGAGCTAATGTGGGAGGCGTGTGCCAAGGCAGACAATTGAAATGCCCAAATTTGGGGTTCTAGATAATAACTATATACAGAATCCATTGTTAGGCTGAGATCCGACGATGACTTCACACGCCGAATCCGAGCTTCAATGGAAGTAGAAAATATGAAAGTTGTTGTGGAGCGTAATTAAGCTCAGAGCGAGCCACTTCCGAGCCAAAAGACAAAACAAGTCTAACTGCGCGCTATTAAAATGCCAGTGTCTCGGTCAAACCGAACCTGTTCCCCCGTGGCAGAGGCCATATTAGAGAGCCGCTAAGAAAGCGGCCAAAACACACCAAATTGGCCAAGACTGCGCAGCGCGAGACAAGACCAAGTCGAAGCACCAAAGCCAAAACATAAAGCTGATGTCAAGTGCACTAGAAAATATATACTCTGAATATATGTATACACATACATATGTATACTTATGTATGTATATCAAAGCCAGAAAGCCGCCGTGCGAGGTGGCAAAATGCAATTAGAGTCATAGAGCTAGACTTCCTGAAACTCCAGTTAACACACACGCATACACACACATACACATGTGCTCGTACACATATACATATCTCAATATTCAAATGGCAAATTAGCTGCGACTTCTGAGCTGTGTGAGGCGAGGCTGTGCAATCTTTCAGTCTCAATTATCTGTGTGTATGAATTTCTTTCTCTGCGCTGCCAGTAGAACCAGTTCAGCTCTAGCGGTTCTTACACACGACGAGATGTCATGCAGCATATTACCGTTAAAATATCATAATGAGAGTGCAGCCGGCGAGCGCAGCTGGAGCCGCCAAGAATGCCAATCGCCATGCGATTGCGATTGCATTGATTTCCATTTAATTGGCCAACAACCTGTTCCACTCACAAACAAACAGAAACAGGCCAACGTAATGGGTCAGCAGCGGCCGGTTCTTCTTCTTCTGCTTCTGTTAGTGCCTTCAGCTGCTAACGGCTATCAGATTTGCCATAGAAATGTAAATTGTTTTGCCCGGCGATCATTAATCAACTTGCGACACAGTTCGACTCATTGTGGATCGCTTTTATAATTATGGCGCCTATGTAAATTTAGAAAGCTGTTAGGAACGTGCAACAGCACTTTGCAGCGGCCAACGGGTTCCATGGGAACGTGTCTTTCTTGTGCTCTATCTGCCGGAACGTGAGCCATCGATCAGTGTGGATCGCAACTCATGAATTTGCTGAGAGTTTTATGTGACGTAAAAGGCTTTTACTAAGCCGCATAAATATCTGTGGGCGACTAACAACAGTTAATAAATAAATTAAATATAATTATATAAGAATTGTATTATTCCTAGCTAATTTCATTCAATTCTCAATTAAGTCTTCTATGCCTCCCGTCATGATATAACATTCCCATATCATATAAGACAGATTATTTTGCTTTAGTAATGAACATTTTACACGCATCGGCGAGCTTTACGTGATATATCATTATACATATGAGAAATTGAATTGAATTTTGATTGGAGTTTTGTGGTTAACTATGTTTATGGTTCATAGTTTTTACTCTCTTTACAGTTAGGCACGCAACTCTTACTTTCACGGCCAGCGACAACAGCAGCTATGGAAGAAGCATTTACTCTATTTAAGTCGGCAAACACAAGTGCAGCCAGTAATAGCAATAATTTACACATTTGCGTCGAATAACCGCAATTAAAATGATTTTTTATACTTTTTAAATACAATGCCGAATGGACTTGGACACACAAAATTAGAAAGTGTAAAAAAAGCCGCAGCAAACGAAGCACGCGTTAAATGCCAAATAGCAGGAGTTAACTTGGCTGAGTTGATTCAGGCATTAGCTGTTGGTTCTATGGTCAATTAACATTTGATCTGTCTGCAATATCTGCGGTCTGTTCGATATGCGTTTCATTTTCAATGCGGTCCAAAGGCAAAGCTGAGAAAGTCTCTTCGTGATTTGCGACTCGACTTGCGCCTATATATACATATATATTTTATATAGGTATGTGTGTGTGCGGTTAGACGCTGATTCATTCTGTGAGAGCCAGATTATCTCTCGCTTGTTGTTGCCGCTGCTCATTTTCGGTTAACAACAGCACAGCGCTGTCATCGACTGGTTTTGCGCCAAGAGAAACTCGAATGTGAGTTTGTGTATATACAAACGCTCGCGTGTGCTTTGTGGCGTTTCACTTTCTTTTTGGCCAAGAATTCGAGTACCTTCAGGTTTATTGACCACAACAGAAATACGATTAAAGCCGTAAAACTAAAAGTTAGTCAGCCGAAGGCGCAAATCCCGTTCGTAGTTAAATCATTTTCTGAACTTTCCAGCAAGTTCGTGTCTTAAGTCTTTCGTTTCGCTAAATGACCAAATGGCGCGGTGCGACGTGCGCGGCCTAACGGCACACTGTGTCGCATTTCAATGCGATTTGGAAAATGTGACACTTCTGCTCACATTTCTGATGAGCTATTTTGTAACAGGTGCCAACGGGTTTCCAACACACAAATGACGCAACCCGCTGGGCATAATCGAAGAGCCGTTTTAATTTGCATCGCCATCTATTTTTCATATATAAATATATACACTATATATACTATATAAATATAAACACTATATTCATATAGATTAGGCCTTGTCAAGTTTAAAGGAAAGTTGCATGTGTCATGCAACAGCTGCAGCTGCAGTTGCAGCAAGTTTACTTTTACCTGACCTCAATGGGCACGTAACACTTAAGCGTCATGAAAGCAGAACCAATTGCAACTCGCGCTACTATTGTTATTGTAATAATATTGCACTTGATGCCCAAATTGCAACTGTCACGATTTACCAGACAGTTGGCAGAGATGGAACTTTTTAAACTTTAAATGGAAAATAGAAAATGTCATGAAAATTGAATAGCTAGAGATGATTGAATATGAATAAACACTTGAAACGGAACATTTGTAAGTATGTATAAATGAATTTGTAAGTATGTATAAATGAAGTTCTTGCTTTGAAATTTAAATGTTGGAGAAATGGTATAAAAGCAATAATTAAAATAAATTCTATTTTTATTTACATACATATTTATATACATACATATTCTTAATGACAATATAAATAGTAAAGAGGTTTGTGAGTTAGACCCCTCAGCTTTATGCATTTTCTATTGATATTCAAAACATTCATTTCTTGCTATCAATCAATTTTTAGTTAACATTAAAAAGTTTATAAGTTTATATCTCAAAGAATTTTAATAGATGTTATGTATTAGGTACAAAAAA